CGCGTTTCAAGCTGGCAAGCACGCCGCGCCACAGCGTACCATAAACTTGCCCACAATTAATAGGTCAGGGTGTTAAAATGTAGGCAATTTGACATCAAATTCGAAATTAGCGACTCAAAAAACATCAGTCACGAAACTTACGTGATCTTTCAGTCATTATCCGACTTATTTCTTCCTATTCTTGAATTTTGGACCATAGTACGCCGCGGGCGGCGGCATTCATGAGATTATCCTATTTGCTCAATTGTATTTTCCAGATGTTCATCATTCAATACGTTGAAAATAATTAGAGACAATTTTTCGACTTTAGACCAAAATCTTTGACTACTTTGTCTTAATTTTAATTTTTTCGGGGCGCCTTTGATTCTTTTTTAAACGTTGCTTACTGTATGATGAAATTGTGAATGTCATCCATCAACATTCCCGTGGCTGCATTTCATAATATCAGGGACTTTTATGGATTAAAAATGACAGGCTCCATTGCTCCTTAAAATCCCATAAAGCATTACTTTTTCTACACTGGAAAAACAACACATTGGATCTAGAGTCCAGACTCGTAAAAACATCGACAAGAAAAAATACTCTTGATCCAATCGGATTTTTGCTTAAATCAAGAACCAACCTCTTAATTTGAGCGGATTGCCTTTGATTTAAGCAAAAATCTAATTGAATCAAGAGTATTTTTTCTTGTCAATGTTTTCAAGAGTCTGGACTCTAGAACCAATGTGTTTTTTGTTCTTTTTTCCAGTGTACCTGCAATCTGTCCATAATTTAATCGTCTCACAATACCTCCAGCCAAGACAAAGATGGATTTTTCGTGAAGGTGTTGGAGAACCAAAATTTCAGAACCAAGCTTGTGCAGATGGGAGCTTTATAAAATGTGATCTGCCTCAAGATCGCTCCGAATCATCTCTCCGCCGACAAAAAGAATCCAAACTATTTTCGCATAACCTCCGAAGCGCATGAACAGAGATTCATAGGAGGGCTCAACTCAAGATGCAGATACGCTCCTTCGTCAGAATAGTGAGGAAATACACCGCGAGAGGGCGCGAGGCTTGAGCTCAACCTATAGGTTTATAAATCTCGAGGATTTCCCAGATAAAGTGAGCTGGAACAATACGTGACACATTCGTAAGGCCCCGCGCTTCCGTATTCCTGTGTGCCCACCGGAGCCTGCCAGGTCTGACGAAAAAGTTCCCCGCGGTGGGGGAATTTCCCCGCGTGGGAAATTTCGGGGGTCGAGAGGCGGCAACCCTGCGGCTCGCTCTTCCTTCCGCCCCCATTAGACTTTCCATTTAGACAGTGGTAATTCTTTCCGCCTTGTTTTCCATTACGCCACCTACTTTGTTTCCCGGCTCGGGCGGTATTAGTCTTCATATTTTTTGGAATCAATTCGTCCGGGTTACTGGGTAATAATAGAGACTCATCCTGCTCCACCTTGAGGTGATGGTTCGGTTGTTTGCTGCGGCGGTATGTCGGTCTACGGTTACATTGTCGTGCTAAGGAAAAACGCCGTAAACGCCATTTTACATTTTTTGGATACAAACAGTGTTCGAAACTCACAGGTGCCAACGCGCCGAATGCGCCTAAAAAATCGGACATGGCGCCTAAAAAATGAAGGCTCATGCACGCTGGGCTTGTCGATTTCCTTTGACATTTTTGCAGTGGTGAATGCATAGCTGAAGTGCGCTACAGCTAGAATTGTGTATAGCAAATGGGTAATTTTTATAGGAGGATTATAAATAAACATGTGGTTAGAAATGGCAACAAAATAATATAAACTATGCAAAACGATAATCCGGGTATCGGAACTTGGCTGTTTTGAAAACGCCTTCAAATGCGGCGTGATACCTCACGCATTCCGGAGAGTTCAAATAGTTGTATAATTGCGCCGTAAGAATGTGACGGAAGATTTAAATGGAGATAGCCTCCATGCACGCTGGGCTTGTCGATTTCCTTTGACATTTTTGCAGTGGTGAATCCATAGCTGAAGTGCGCTTCAGCTAGAATTGTATTTACAAATGGGTGGTTTTTCTACGAGGATTAAAAATAAACAAGAGGCACGGAATATAACAAAAGAATATGAACTATGCAAAACGACAATTCGGGTATAGGAACTTGGCTGTTTTGAAAACACCTTCAAATGCGGCGTGATACCTCACACACTCCGGAGAGTTCAAATAGTTGTATCATTGCGCCATAGAAATGCGACGGAAGATTACAATTGAAATAGCTTCCATGCACGCTGGGTGAGTCGATTTCCTTTGACATTTTTGCAGTGATGAATGCATAGCTGAAGTGCTCCAGCTAGAATTGTATTTTGCAAATGGGTGGTTTTTATAGGAGGATTATAATTGAACAAGTGGTTAGAAATGGAAACAAAATAATATAAACTCTGCAAAACGATAATCTGGGTATCGGATCTTGGCTGTTTTGAAAACGCCTTCAAATGCGGCGTGATACCTCACGCATTCCGGAGAGTTCAAATAGTCGTATAATTGCGCCGTAAGAATGTGACGGAAGATTTAAATGGAAATAGCCTTCATGCAGGTTCGCCACATCCCATCTCGGGCCCTGGTACCAGTTTTAAGGTCCGGGCCCCAAGCACGGAGGGGGG